CTCCCACAAATCACAAAAGGAGAGGGGGAAACAGTCAGTCAGTTAAAAAAAATAAAAAATCTTGAGAATAAGAATTCTGGTGCAGGGGTTGGGGTCGGAATGTAGGTAAGGACAAGGGGGCAGAAACAAGCACAGCCACTGACACAGCCCTGCCTGGCCTAATGAGGAGACTCCAAAACACAAGTCTGTGAAGACCAGAGGTTTCCTCCTACTTGAGGCCAGAGATGGCACTTGGGGGCCATGGCTGATGCATGGCAATCAACAGTAACAATCTACAACAACCCCTGCCTATCTTTAGATAAAGAGGCAAAAACAAGGAATTCCACAAGAAGGCTGGCTTGGCTTTGCCAGATAACCAAAAGGCAAGTATTGGAGCTGCAAAACTGACAAGAAACCCTGCACTCCAGCTTGGGGACCTACAGCAAACCTGACTCAAAGGAGATGGCTCTTCAGACAAGTGCCTGTTTGCAACAACAACAAAAAAAAAAAAAAAAAAAAAAAAAGGACATGGCTCTTCAGAAACCCTGGGCACTCACTTTTCACTCAAACAACGTGAAGATGTTAAGAGGCTAAGTAACGACAAAACCATACCTGTTTTTACATAGCCAAAGATCCCGCCAGAAGTAACCAGTGCTGTGTAGCCATAGCCAAACCAATGCAAAGGCACTCTGAAAACAGCAGGGTGAGAAGTCAGTGCCAACCACGCTTTAGAAACAAACCATACTGTCACAGAATGGGACTAAAAGGTAATCATTCCTGCCAGATGCGCCTGTAATCCCAGCACTTTGGGAAGCTGAGGCGGGCAGATCATGAAGTCAGGAGATAGAGATCATCCTGGCCCACATGGTAAAACCCCATCGCTACTAAAAATACAAAAATTAGTCGGGTGTGGTGGCGCACACCTGTAGTCCCAGCTACTGAGGAGGCTGAGGCAGGAGAATCACTTGAACCTGGGAGGTGGAGGTTACAGTGAGCTGAGATTGTGCCACTGCACTCCAGTGTGGTAACAGAGCAAGACTCCATCTCATAAAAAAAAGAAAAGGTAATCATTCCTGACATGTCTTATCACTGAAAATAAGGCCCACAGAGGTTGAATGACTTTCTGAAAGCCACTCAACTCAGCAAAGCCAGAGCTGGGACTCAAACCCAAGTCACTGGCACACAGGTCCTGTGATCCTCCCACCCACCATACTGTCCCAGGCAGTCTACTTTTAGGGTTTTCAGCTGAGGAAAGGGACTCTGGTTTCCAGAAGCTCCTGGCTACTCCATTGACATTTACTGCCCACTCACATTGGGGTGAAGCCCTTCTCCATTCTTCTCTTCTCTGTCCAGACAGGAGACTACCCCAGGCCTGCACCTGCAGAAAACAGGCTGGATCAGAGGTGGTTAAAGGCACAGCTCTCCAGCAGTCAGAAAGAAGTGTGTCCAACCCGCAAACTACGCAACCTAAGTCTCAGCATCCTTCACTGTACCATGGGGATAACACTGCTACCAATTTCCTGGGCTGTTGTGAGCATTCGGGGTGGGGGGAGTCATAGGTCATTAGCACATAGTAAACGCTGAACAGATGCCGACCATTGTCATCAAAACCTCAATTCTAATCACAGCAAACTGAGCAGGACCCAGTGACCAGCTCTATAATCAGGTAATGTGTTAGCCATTTCATCAGCTAACCATACTACCACTAAATCGGAAAGCAAGTACTCCCATGCTCTTAATCCAACTACTTTAACGTCTCTTTTTGGGGGAGGCAGGGTGTTGATTTTCGTCCCTGCCAAAACACCCAATTTCAATACTCAACTTTTTTAGAATCTTCTGCATCCAACTCACAGGTTTTCTTTTTTTGAGGGGGTGGCTGGTGGAGTCTCGCTCTGTCGCCCAGGCTTGAGTGCAGTGACACGGTCTCAGCCCACTGCAACCATCGCTTCCCTGATTCAAACGATTCTCCTGCCTCAGCCTCCCGAGTAGGTGGGATTAGAGGAATGCGCCACGGCACCCGGCTAATTTTTGTATATTAGTAGAGACGGGGTTTCACCCTCTAGGCTGGTCTTGAACTCTTCACCTCGTTACGCCCGCCTAGGCCTCCCAAACTGCTGGGATTACAGGTGTGAGTCACAGCGCCCGGCCCCTACTCACAGTTACAGTTAGGAGGACGGATAAAATATAAAGCGGATAAGGGGAGGATAAAATATAAGGAAACCCTAGTCATATTCACATCTGACGCTGCACCCTTGGAAAACAGCTCTTATTTTCTTACAGAAAACTATCTTGTATCTAGTGAGCCTAACAAGATGGAAAGCAATACACACCCCGTTTATCTTGTTTAAAGAATCAGGCCGGGCAAGGCTGAGGCGGGAGCCTGGTTTGAGCTCTGGAGGCAGAGGCTGCAATGAGACGTATCATGCACTCCAACCTGGGCGACAGAGCGAGACCCTCCCTCAAAAAAAATAAAATAAAAAATAAATTTCCATAAAACGAGGAAGGGCAGGGGGCTTGGGATCTTGCCCACAGTTCTTAACTGGAGGCGGTAATGAGTTAACGAGGCTTTTAAAGAGATGGAGCAACAAAACCTCCAGGAAACGGGGCAACACTATGCTACGTGGGTGAGCCTTTGCCTCAGGAGCTCCGCGCGTCCACAACCACTTTTAAGACAAGCAGAAAATACCTAAAGAGCAAAGCACCGACCACACCGACTAAAGGCCCGGCTGAATCCGGGGTACGAAAAGCAGACGGCCGTGAAACTCCTAAATAATCCCTAAAAGCTAAAAGTGGCAGAAAATAATAAGACTATTCCCCAAGGGTCCGCACCGGTCTTCCGAAGGCACGCACGGTCCACAAGGGCACAGAAGCCGCGACGCAAGGCAGCCAGGTCTCGCCGGAAACGCGGCAGCGTGCGCTCTGCCTTCTGGGGGCGCGACAGGGCGGGGAGAGGGGCGGAGTATTGCGGCGCGTGCGCAGTTTACCGGGAGAGAGAGAGAGACGGGCAGGGGAGAGGGACGGCGGCGCCGGAGCTAGAGCTGCCGAGTAGCAGCAGCCAGCGCCCTGCATCGCGGGGGCGGGGAGTAGGGCGGGGCATGGCGGCGCGCCAGAAAGTCTCGGGAACAGGGCGGGGAATCTCCGTGCTTCCTCGGTCCCCAGGCTCAGCGCCTGCAGGGCCGACTAGCGCCAGTCCCAGGTTTAATCTTCAGTGGCCAAAAGCCGGAAACCCGGAGTTGGAATTGGGTCTTGCACAAGCTGGACCACGTGAGCTGCGCCAGGCCGGAGGTGGGGGCCACCGCTGCAGGAGGAGGGCTTCTGAGGCTGGATTCTGAAGAACCCCGTTAATAGAGGGACAAGTTACCGGGTATAAACCAGATACGGGCCATCAGGGATGACTGTCACTGTAGCCCGATCTCGTTTGTTTACACCAGAAAGGGCCTGCCTTCTACCTGCAAGAAAACATGGCGGCTGCAGAATGTGGCTCACTGCCAAATATCCGTTTGTTTTAGGGAGTGAGGCTACTTGAGAAGCATCTTAAAGGAGGAGAGAGAGCAAGTGAAATCTGATCTCCACCCAGCTCTGTGGATCCCTGATGTCCACAGCGTGACGTTATCTCCATTCCCACCTCCAAGCCGCTCCTCTTCCGTTTCCTGCACCACCATTCGCTCAGTTGCTCTACACTAAAATTTGCTGTCATCGTTGACTTCTCTCCCTCCTTCCTCCCGTGCAAGTATCAACGTAGACAAATCTGATCAATAGAATCGTCAGTGAATAAAGCAAATTGTAGCGCATATTCCTAAGGAAAACTTAAAACTTGCCGCAGCACCTACTTTCCAGATAGCAAAATTGAAGCCCGTGTTTATCATAGCTGATTCTAACCAGCCAAAGCTGATAATGACTAAGAACTTGCGGCAATTGCAGTATCCCAGACCTTCACTTTAACTGAAGACTTTCCTGAACAATTAATAAGGAGACTTGTCTTAACCAGCAGGGAATAGCTTTAGGGACTCATTCTTCTCCATGCAGGGGCAAGGTCAAACCTTAATTAGGATCATCCAGGATGATCCTCGGGTCCTTCCCCCACCTTATACGTGAAGAGATTGAACCTCAGAGAATTAAATTACCTACATTCCTGGTCAGTGGTAGAGCTATTATTTAAAGTAAGGTCTAACGTCAAAGCCTACGTCCTTAATTCTACAATATGCTGCCTCTTGTAGTGTCGTTCCTCAACCAGAACACATAGCTCTTCTGAGCAGGTACAGAGGGCAGGCACCATGGCTTGTGCTAGGACCCAGCACAACCCTTGTGACAGTAAATACTCCCAGGATCTTTGCAGAGAAACGGGGACAAGAGGAGTTGGCAAAAGCTATGAAGACCTCATGCCTCCCATCAGTGGGCTGCCTTAGAATTTTACGGGCTGATTGCTGGGGACCAAATAGTCACACAGGCATCAACTTGACACCTAAATTCCCACATTCAGGAGAAGCCAGGTCCTCATCTAGGGCTGAAGGTGGCAAAAATATATGCCCTTTGGAAAACATTCCATGACACGTGAAAAAATGGCCAACATCACGATTCAAAATCTTAGCTATAGAAGCCTGAGAAGATGGTGGGTTTGGATGGTCTATGGCCTTCTGATGCCTCTACCATTGCAACACAAGTGCCCTTAATTGTCCAGTGTCCTATAAAAAAGGATAGAAAAGTACGAACAATTTCAGGGGGCTTATGCTAATACATACAATGCCTGACTCATACTCTAAACCAATGCCAGTTAGGGTAGAGCTCAGTAGCTAGTATCCTTTCGTTTTAAAGAGGGAATGAAAACTAAAGCAAGGGGTACCAGATTGAGTTAATTCTTCATGCTGAAACAGGAATAAAGTAAACTAGAAATGTACCAGTATCCAGTTAATGTATCCAATGTAGAGACCATGATTGAAGTTCTAGATGAGTCTTGTAGTTTCACATTTATGTATGAAGTAATTAACAACAACAAAAATACCTTTTTTTTTCTCTACACAATCCTAATCTTAGAAATCCTCAGTGGCCAGGTACGAATAGCTCATGCTTATTACTCCACCACTTTGGGAGGCCAGGAGAGAGGATCACTTGAGACCAGGAATTTGAGACTAGCCTGGGCAACATAGCAAGATCCCATCTCTACAAAAAAAAAAAATGAAATAAATTAGCAGGGTGTGGTGATATGCACCAGCTGTACCAGCTACTCAGGAGGCTGAGGTAAGATGATTGAGCCCAAGAGTTTGAGGCTCAGTGAGATACGATTGCACCACTGCCCTCCGGCCTCGGCGACAAAGACCCTGTCTCTTGAAAAACAAAGAAAATCCTCAGAGATCATTTTTGAAACAACCTTCAATGCAATGTACAATCAAATAACTTTCCTTGGTCCTTAAATTACTCAAAATAGGTTTCTAAATAGCAACAAAATCCTTTCATGTTTCTATATCTTGCTGCTATGAACATCTCATTCTATGAACTAGACAGCTCTAGCAATGAAGACATCATAGGAAATATTATTTATAGTAAACTTTATTTTCATTGGTATTTCATTTAACATAATTTCAACATCAGTCTGTGTTGAAATGTGCTTTAAGATGAGCAAAAGAACAGATATTCCAAATCTCATAAGATATTTCTTCACACTGTTCCACCGAGCAGGGAATGGGGTTTCTGGGCCCTCAAAGATGACACCTGACATTTTACCCTTGAGATTTACCTACAGATACAGAAAAAAGTGATAACATCAATATACGAGAATCAATCTCTATGAGGCTATTAAGCTCTTCTGTAACATACTCGCCACCCCTGTAGGATTGTAATCGTAATGACTGATTTTCCACCCCTCTGCTACGTTTGGTGGCTTTTTTTCTTTTTTTAGGTAAAATGTCAGATGCAAAAATGCTGCCTTTATTTCTCTTCATACATTGAAAATAGTATAAGATGCCAGATTTTTAATTCTTCATGAGTCCAAGCTGGAACATGACTTCTGCTAATGGGGTCTGTTGAACATACTAACTCCAACTTTGGCAACCATCAGCAAACTGTTTAAAAGAAACACGGATAGAAAACGTCAGGTAAAGGACAGAACAGACAACTATGTTTTTAAGGAACTAAACTCCAGGTTCCTCACAACTGCATAGGGGAGGAGGTACAAAGACAAGAGCCGGTCAGAGGTACAATTTCCATCTTTGCAGGAACCAGAGAAAAAGCATGCCAAGGGACAGTCTCACACTGAGGTTTTAAAATAGCACACATGAGCTGGATCCCAATGCAACTGCCAACAACTTGAAGAGATGAAGTGGAGGCAAGAGAGAGCAAGACTTCCCCACCACACAAAGCTAATTAATGCTGGAATCTCCAGCTTTTCAGTTTACTGCTCTAGACCTTGATCCACACTGACTCTTTTGCGTCAGGTATAAAACATTATACAGCAGCATCACAGCTACAATTAGAGTAGAGCATGTAATTTTTTTCCAAAACAGATTTTTTTTTTTTTGGGATGGAGTTTCACTCTTGTTGCCCAGTCTGGAGTGCAATAATGCGATCTCGGCTCAACACAACCTCCACGTCCAAGGTTCAAGCGATTCTCCTGCCTCAGCCTCCCGAGTAGTTGGGATTACAGGCATGTGCCACCATGCCCAGCTAATTTTGTATCTTACCTCAGGCGATCCACCTGCCTCAGCCTCCCAAAGTGCTGAGATTACAGGTGTGAGCCACCATGCCTGGCCCAAAACAGATTTTTAAAAATTCCCCCACCTTCAGGATGTCTTTATGATAATTAACAACTAAATTCTTCTTTTCTTTTTTGAGACACAGTCTCACTCACTCTGTTGCCCAGGCTGGAGTGTAGCGGCACAATTTTGGCTCACTGCAACCTCCACCTCCCAGGTTCAAGCAATTCTCCTGCTTCAGCCTCCCAAGTAGCTAGGATTGCAGGTGTGTGCCACCACGCCCGGTTACCTTTTACATTTTTCATAGAGATGGGGTTTCATGATGTTGGCCAGACTGGTTTTGAACCCCTAATCTCAAGTGATCCACCCACTCTAGCCTCCCAAAGTGCTGGGATTACAGGCATGAGCCATCACACCTGGCCTATAACTAAATTTTTTAAAAACCACAATTCGGTTTAGGTTTTATAATCAAAATTAGAAAACAGGGCCAGGCAGAGTGGGTCACGCCTGTAATCCTAGCACTGTGAGAAGCCGAGGCGAGTGGATCACAAGGTCTGGAGTTTGAGACCAGGCTGGCCAACAATGGTGAAACCCCGTCTCTACCAAAACTACAAAAATTAGCCAGGCGTAGTGATGCATGCCTATAGTACCAGCTACTATGGAGGCTGAGGCATGAGAATCGCTTGAACCCGGGAGGCCGATGTTGCAGTGATCAGAGATTGCACCACTACACTCCAACCTGGGCGACAGGACAATGCTCCATCTCAAAAAAAAAAAAAAAAAAAAAAAAAATTAAAAAACAGGATTCAATCAAAATTCCCTCTTAGCAAAATTTTCTATAAAAAACACCTCCACATCTGAGAAATATGGGACCCCCCACCTTCTGTGCAAGTCACACAAAAGGCTGCAGTCATGGCTTCGCACTGAAACTTCGGCCACCACAGGGACGAGCTAGGATGGACCAGAGAGCAAATATGAGAACAAAGCCATTTCCACAGTGAATGGATATACTCATGCCATTTTGCCATTAAACCAGCTATTGCTTTGAAGTGTTTCCTATTAGTGTATAAATCAAATGTCAGTTGATGCATAGCATCAGATATCCTGAAACAAGTAAGGTTTTGAATGCACGAAGTATCCTGGGCAATAAACTGAACTCTACATGGTAAAGAAGAGTAGTAGAAGGGAAAGTACCTGGCACCTGCGATTAAACCTGCAGGCATGAATTTTCCAGAGTGGTAGAATCTCATTCCCATAATGCCAGCCAAGGTACCAGATGTAGCTGATGAAAAAGATACAAAGAAGGGTGAAAACTCATTACATCTTCTACACAGGGGAATCAGACCCACTTATCTCTCCAGGCTCACACCTCATCCTATGTTCATTCCTCCTGCCCCC